GAATGTCCTGAATTCTAAAGTCCGATCCTGATTCGAGCATCTTAACTAAAGTCTTGATCCATAATTCTGAGCATAGACAAAGTAATATGTTTATAACTGAAAACATATATCAGCACTTACCTGTCGTCGGCGAGGCGTGAGCATGACGGTTCAGGTTTTTCTGAAAATTTTACTGACTGAAAAACTTTTTAGAGACGCAGAAACCTGTCTCTGATACCAGTTGTAACACCCCGCCTTATTGTAAAATCAGAGTGCGAAAATTTCGCAAAGTTATTTAAAAATAAAATCTTTTACTTTGCGAAAACTGATTTGGGGTGCTACCGTAAAAACGTGACTTAATTTGGAAAACCGTTATTTTAATTTTTAATAAAATCATACTGTTACTGAAAGCATAAAGTTTTCCAAAAGTCCGGTCAAAATATAAGTTCATCAAAACCATCGTCAGCGGAAACGTAAATCGTCATAATATATACACAATCGAAACATAAAAGTCCTGAAGCCTTCGTCATCTCACGCTCCCGGCCCGACGTCCTGACCTGAAAAACACGATAACAGTGGGAAATGAGCACTATGGCACTGTGCTCCGTGGAAACTCATACTAATGTAAACATTGAAAATAATAACAACATCATGATCTTGGCATATACATAACCTCAACATGAAACCGGTAATAACATGAACATGAATCTGATATCGTCACGCGAACGTGAACCCTAATCGTTACCTCATCTGCCGGCACAAACTAATGCCGGACACCATGTGCACACTCTAGTGGGCAGACTAGGGCCACTAGAACCCAGAATGGACCGGCAACCATTCTGAGCGGATACTGAACTGATATACATACCTCAAACATGGTACCGTAATTATAATCAATGTAGTACTTAGTCTGAGTCCCCACCTGATCCGTGAAAATAAAGGCAGTGCTGACTGTCGTGACCTGATCAAACTGAAATATAATATAAACAATTACTAATGACTATGCTCAGACTGTTAACTTAACTGATTAATTTTTTTGTTAAGATGCTCTACTGAACCTAACATGATATTTAGACTTAACCGGAATAACCGGAACTGATCTAACATGAACTGATCGGACATGAACTTACTAAACTGAACTGAACCCAGAATTTTTAACTGAAATTGAACTTAAAATGCGAACCGAGATTAAAATAATGTTATTTGGGTCAAACCGGTATTAACCGGTCTGAACCGGTCTGACCGGACCGCCGGTCTGCTCGGACTGGTCGGCTGGCGGC